GGCTTCAGATAGAACTGCTCGTGCCTTTCCAGTTTATTGCTCTCGACTGAGCAGTGGACTCGCCCATTGGAGGACAGTGGTAGAGTCGATGTCCTTTGCACGGACTTCAAAAGGCGTTCGACATTGTCCTACACAAAAGCCTTACCTACAAACTCACTAAAATTGAGATAAGAGGAAAGATGCTGACATGGATCGCAGAGTTTCTTAAGGGGCATCACAAATCGTGTGCGCTGAGGCCTCGAGGTCAACCCCTAACGCCGTTCTAAGTGGTGTCACCAAGGGCTCAGTCTTAGGACCGTTGTTATTCCTCATTTCCACTAACGACTGTGTCGCTGACCTAGGATGCAACGCCGTCATGTTTGCCGACGATGTAAACCTTAGGAGAGCCATCAAATCTGCCGCAGATAGATACGCGAGAGTCTCAAGAGGGTCTCAACCGCCTGAGCAGTTCGTCATCTCGTTGGCCCCTTAAGATAAATGTGTAAAAATATGCAGTCCTGAGAGTCCGCACCAAATGAACCATTAAGGAGGATGATTCCCTCCAGTACGTCCTTGGAGGGCAGCCTCCTTCAGGTGCTGTGGAACAGAAAGACCTCGGCGTCCTAATGACCTCCTCGCTGAAACCATCGTCACAGTGTCAAAGGGCAGTTGAACTCGCGCTACAGGTGTTATTTGCGCTGAGATGAGGATTCTTTCAGATTGGTAAAAAGCTGTTTGGAAAAGCCTACGGGTCGTTCGTTCGGTCTCAGTTAGACTATGCAGTCCAGGCCTGGCAACCGTGGTTGAAGAAGGATTACCAACAAATGGAAAGAGCAAAGGCGATGGCTATGAAGATGGTAAAGAATATTGATCACTTACCTCGCGAAACCAGACTGGCCGAACTAAATCTATTTCCTCTCAATTACAGGAAACTGCGCGGCGATCTCATCCAAACCTACATGATTGTCGAAGGCCGTGAGTGCGCCCTAGACTTTGCTGAATTCTTCGAATTGGCCGGGACTGACCGTCCGCTCGATCATTTCCCTAAACCGCAGGGGAAGCTGACCCATACGGACGTTCGACGGCACGCCATCTCTCAGAGAGTTATTGGGGCGTGGAACGGACTCCCTGATGTTGTGGCTCTTTCAGAAACTGTTGAATCCTTTAAGTGTAGACTAGACGTTCATTTGCTGAGGAACTACTATACATGTAATCGCGATTGTGTTTAGCGGCGGTAGTTTTCGCCTTGCTTACACCTACAAATAACTTTTGAATTTCTGGATTTACTGTTTGTCGATATAATAGGTAGCTAAGGGGCAAAAGCCTCATTCCCTTGATAAACTGACTGAAACTCCATGCAGAATGTGTGAGTAAAGTAAAGTAGATGTTTTCTGTGCGAAGCTGT